TATTATTATTATATAATTTTTATCTTTCTAGTGGTTAGAAATAAGTTTTTACAAATTAAATATATTTCTTCATATTTATTTTTATTAAATTATTATTTTTTAAATGTCAAGGGGATCCGTATTAAATTGAAATCTCAGTGGGTGTCAATGTAATTTACCCTTTAAAGTATATGTAAAGGTTAAGGGTAAATATGTCATTTTAACTTAAAAGTTAGCACGGTCAAATAATTACACTGACAAAGGAGTTAATGTAATTTTCCAAATGTAAAGAGGAGAATTGTAATAAATATAAAGCTAAAGGGGTGTTAATGTAATTTACCCAAAAAAATTATTTTTTTTTAGTAAAATATTTTACATCTAAACAAAAGAAGTGGTTTGGAAGTAATTTTTTTTAATAATTAAAAAAGTTAATATGATTGAAAAGTTGTAATCAGTTTGTTTGGTTTTTGTTTCTAAAAAACACTTTTCAGAAAATCTATTTTTTTATTTTTCATATTTTTTATTTTCAATAACTTTTTAAATATTTTAAGCAATTTTTTTAATTTTTAGACACACCTAACATAAATAAACTTAAAAAGTATAATATTTGTGAAAAAATTCTTTAAAAATTCACTAAATTCCAAAAATACAAAAAAAAAAAATAAAAATTCAGCACATTTTTGAATTTTTGTGTATTTATTAATTTTTTTAAATATTTTTTCACAAATATTTTACTATTTAAATACATCTATTTTATCTAACAAAGTAAAAAAATTGCTTCAAATTTTAAAAATATTCACTAAAAATAAAAAAAAACATGAAAAATAAAAAATTTAATTTTTAGAAAACTGAATTCGGAAAAATGGAACCACACACACAGAATGATTTTTTTTAAAGAATAAAAAACTAATATAATATTTATTTTTTAACCAAAATTAACTTTCTTAAGGAAAATGAGTGAGAGCACTAATTACTACCACTACTAGTGATGTGACAATGGGTCACCCACTACCGTAATGTTGTTGTGTCTGTTTTTTTTTTTTTTAAAAAAAAAAAAAAAAAAAAAACTGAATGCCACATCATTAGTGGTTGCTTTAGAGCACCACCTTTAGTGGTCTCTATCATTCCACCTTTATCCTCACTCCCGACGATCGCCTCTCTCTCTCATCCTTTATCCGCAGTCCTGCCGGACGGTGGAGTCGTTTTTGTCTTCTCTATACTCTCCGACGATCTCAACTCTGTGTTCATTATATGGTTTTATTTGTACAAATATTTTTTATTTTATGATAACCAGAAAGTTGAATTTGTAAAAACATTTACTCTAAAAAGTAAGAATTTTGAACATAGTGAAATTAACACCACAAACATTTAGTTTTGATTTATGAACACAGTCAAATTAACACCACATTCATTGAACACTGTCAAATTAACTCTAAACATTTACTCTGCTTAATGTTAATTTTGATGAGTGTGAAGTCTAAACTTGCTGTTGTACAAATAGAAAACACTGTCAAATTAGTTTTGATTTATGAAAATGGACTAGTATAATATGGTGTATAATATGGACAAGTAGAAAGATGATATGAATTGTCCTTGCATTCATAAAAATGGACAAGTATGAAGATGATATGTTACAATTAAGATATACAAAGCAACAAGTCCACAGTTGTACCAGCAGTATGAACAGCACTTTGGTAGCACCAAATTATCTACAATGCAAATCCAGTCCAAATTATAGTCCAAAATTCATCAACCAATTACAGTCCAGAGTTGGGGAAGAGGGAACTGCAAATATTTTCTAAATATTCATAATCTCTGTTTCTTCATCAAACAATGCAAATCCAAAGTTGAGGAGCAGAGTTTACTTGAGAATAGGGAAGACAGAGAGGGAGAAGCTTAGATGCCGATTGTCGGAGGAGACAGAAGACGCCGGACGGTGGAGGAGGGCGAACACGTCGGACGGTGGAAGAGAGATCTGCAAATGCCGAAAAGTGAGAGAAGGAAGACGGAGAGGGAGAAGAAGCGAAGATGCCGATCGCCGAAGGAGACAGAAGACGCTGAACGGTGGAGGAGGGGACGGCGGAGGACGGATCTAGAGTTGGAATAGAGCCTCAAATGGAACATCAAAACATATCTAGAGCCTCTGTGGGAAGATGTCGATTTTTCTTTTTTTTTTTTTTACACAGTGCGTGGAACACATGCACTGTATATGTAAATGATTTTCAAATTCCCTTCTTGCTTGCCACCTGTTTAGAGCGGTTGTTAGAGTTGCTTATTTAGAGCTTTGAATCAGCTCTCAGTGATGCGAGAGATCTCTAATTTAGAGACTCTAAACACAACTTTAACGAGGTGAAAAAAAAAAAAAAAATGACAGTAGCAGTGGGTGAGATCCATTACCACATCACTAATAGCGCTTCTAATTAGAGGTTCCAAGCATTTTTGATCAGCATATGCGTAATGCTTGTGGTACAAGTTCTTGGTTTTCTTTTTCCATTTTCATCGTCGGCAATTAGGAATGGAAAAGGGTCTTAATTTTGACATCCAAAAACTACATAGAAGACAAAGACGTGTCACCAACCAAGACAAAATAGACCATATGTTTTAGCGAATCATAGAGTGCCACTTAGACTACAAAAATGTGGGACAGCCTTGCACGTGTCAGCAAATGAGCTGGATTTGTACTGTCCCCCGGAATAATAACTAAACAATATGGGTCAACGTCAATCAGAAGCTCAATAAAAAAGAGAAAAAAAAAAAAAAAAAAAACCTTCGATCAAAAGATTTAGGTATAACAAATGATTTTTATAATAAAAAATGAAAATATTGTACAACCCAAATTGAAATTGTCTTTTCTCTCCCACCGACAGTAGCAAATTGTGTTGTATATAATTGCAATATTCATAAAGAAGGCCCACAGCATTAAGCTACTAGTACCCAATTCCCATTAGATGCCTTGCTTTGATTCTCGCTCTCTTTGATTCAGAAATTGCATAGATGACCACACCAATTTTTTTTTTTTTGTGAAGTCTACATTATTAAAGTATAGAAAGTGTAAAAAAATAAATAATATTATATGATTGAAATTTATTTTTAAGGGTAATTTACATCTTACCACACAATGTACTATATATATATATATATATATTTTGTCATTCTATTTTTATGCACTTAACATTTTTTTTGACATAAATTAATATCATGAGCAAGATCATAAATAAATATGGAGAAGTTTTTAAAATTGTGCTGAAAATATAAATCAAATAGGTCATTTGTATGTTCATGCACACAAAAATATCAATTATGAAACTGTTAAAAAAAATAATAATAATAATTCTCCGTCACATTAATGTAAGGTATCTTAATATCTTTATCGAAACACCCCCAACAATCGAGATTAGTTATTATTTGTATTGTAGTAGATATTTGGTAAATGTAGTATTTAGCCTGTGTTTGGCAAGGGCTAAACCAGGTTTTTTTGACTATTTTAGTCACAAAAAACAAAATAGGCTATTTTAGTCATAACAAACAAAACATCACATCCAACTTATAATTATTACATTCTTCTCTCACAAAAAAAGTCAAAAAAGCCAAAAAGCCAAAAAGCCCTTCCCAAACCAAGCTTTTTAGCCCAGGCTAAAATAGCCAAAAAAGCCAAAAAGCCAAAAAGCCAACCTACTTCCCAAACCAAGCCTAAGCATGTTTAGATTATGCGTCTCTAAAAAAGAGTTTAATTTGAAACTGAACGATTCGAATCATCTATCTCATAAGTCCTGTGATAAAAATTATTTATATAAAAAATTAATTTTATTGGACAATTATAAATATGAGAACAAATCACATTTTATTTTATAAAATAGATTATTTAAATTTAATTATATTTACCATTCATTTTATAAAATAAAATACAATTTATTTTTGTATTTATAATTTTCTAATGAAATTAATTTTTATATGAATAACGTTTATTATGGAGCCTATAAAATAGACTATTCAAATCATTAATGCGAGTCCGAATTGAAATTTACAAGAAGAGTATAGAACAATATGGAGATATGAGATATGGAGAAAAATTTATCCCTGTATATACAATCAAGAAAGAAAGAAAGAAAAAAATAAAAACAAAAAAGACTATTGGTGTGATACTAATTATTATTCACTTTGGGGTCTTTGGAAAGTGGGTTATAATCCACTTTTCAGATTATAATTCACTTCATTCTCTCACAAAAAGCTGAAAAAGCTGATTATAACCATCTTTCCAAAAACACTTTTAAAAAAATTTTACTTTCTTATTTTTTGTATTTTTTTTGTTTTTACTGAATGTTTTTAATATGTTAAGTAAATTTTTTTTTTAATTTTTAGACATACCTAATATAAACACATATAAAAAGTATAATTTTTGTGAAAAAAATCTTTTAAAAATTCACTAAATATAAAAAATACAAAAAATAAGAGAATTCAGTATATTTTTAATATTTTTATGTATTTATTAATTTTTTAAAATATTTTTTCATAATTTTTTTACATTTTAAATACATCTAAGTAAGGTGCAGCTAAAAAAGTAAAAAAAATGCTTAAAATTTTAAAAATATTCACTAAAAATAAAAAAATACGAAAAATAAAAAATTTAATTTTAAAAAAATTTAATCCAAAAAATTCAAATCAAACACATGCATTATTTTTTTTTTTAAAAAAAGGTGAAATAATAGGTGTGATACTTTATATTTACAATTTTAAAATTGAGAAAGATTGTATATTAGATAGCCAAGAATAAACACGTAAAAAAGTCATTTAAATCCCTTATAAAAATAAATCTTACTTTAAATCATATTTTTAATAATCAATAATAAAATTTGGAATGTAATTATCAAAAAATGGACTGCAAACGATAATATCTAAAATTTTACTGCCATAAATTCTACTAAGCATTGATATTACTGCTATAAATTCTACTAATCATTGATTGAGTTAAATAATTATTTATAAAAAAATATATGCATTTTAATATGTGATTTTTCTAGTCTACAAAAAAACTGACTTGCCATGAGTATAAGCCAGCCACAACTACATCACCACCGACTCTCTCCTCCCTCTCTCTCTCTCTCTCTTCACTCTGCACTTGTAGTAGTGCAGATCCAAGGCTGCAATCAGCCAAGCAAAATCTGCAAGAAGAAATGGGTTTTTGTTTCGGATCTATATCCAAACTCACTACTTGCGCCATTGTGGTCCTGTTCTTGCTTTCATCCTTCGGCTTTACTTCCACAGGTTTGCACACTCCTTTTTACTCGTCTGCTATAAATCTTCCAAAATTTTTAGTTTTTTCTGTTTTGGTTACTACTTACTAATTGACCAATAATTGCGAAAATGTTTGACTGATTTGGCAAATTTGTTCTGAAATTTAAAATTCCGAAAATGGGTTTTCCTTTATCGTCCGTAATTTCTGTTTTTGTTGTTTTGATTCCGTGTTATTTTGGTTTCTTGCGGGGGTTTATGGTAATGGGTTTTAGTGGGCTGTCTCAGATTTGGATTTCAGAAAAATGGAAAATTTAGAGAGGAGTGGAGTTCTGTTTCTTGCAAATATCGAATGTGCTTTTTGCTTGTTCTGTTGGTGTTTAGACTGACATGGATTTAGAATTTCATTGAAGAATGTTTCTAGATCCTTGAATTGAAGCCATAGAGAATGACTTTCTCATCTATTGACTCTTACACAAAATTGAATCTAAATGATAATCAATGCTATGATCCTTGAAAATTGAATCTAAATATCCATTTTGCCTTTTTTTTTTTTTTTTGAATTTTTTCAATTCCTCGAAGATTGCATAATTGGGTTGGAGGAAATGGCCTATAGAAAAAGTGGCTGAAAACAAAATAATGCAAAGCATGAATTTATGAACATTAAATTGAGCTCCGGGTCTTTTTCATAAGCAGACAAATTTGATTTATTTTACAGATCGGCCATTACAAAATGTAATTTTGGGGAAACATATGCGGTTAAAATCACGACCTTTTGTGTTCTTGACCTCTCTACTGGTGATTCCTGATGAGATATGGGTATTTATTTTTGTTGTTCTGCAGTCTCTGTTTGCATGTGTCCCATTTCTTTCTCTCTCTCTGTTTTTTTTTCTTTTTTCTTTCTTCTTTCTTTTTTGGTTAGTTATGTCTGTCATTTCTATTAATTAGGACAAAGACTTTTAATCTTAATTTACTGTTTGTTGTTTCAGATGCTTTCGATGCTCTTGATCCAAACGGAAACATCACAATTAAGTGGGATCTCATAAGCTGGACTCCTGATGGTTATGTTGTAAGTATTTGCAAACTATATGGTCGAGTAATGCCACATCCCACAAATTTTTGACCCCAATATCGATCCCTAATGGCATGGCAAGCACTCATTGGATAGTTTTACGTTTTAGTGAGGTTGCCAAGTGATGTGACTTATGACACATCACTGGGGGTTGGTTTGGAGCTCCAAAATTAGAGCATCTCCAACCCACTAGGCATACAATGCTTGTTAGTTAAAATGCTTAGTGTGACTTACTTTTTTCAATTCCAATGCAGTAGGCATATAATTAGTCATTTTGACTCAACTCATATTCACTAACTACATGTAGCTAGCCTTCAACACTAGGCAAAATGTATTTAATCATTAAGATCATTTCCCTCCATCTTTGTTGCTGACGTGGCATTCTATAAAATTAATAGTATTTGGATGAATAGCTAAAATAAAGAGTATGGTCAGAGTCAAGGAAGCACAAGTGTGGGTACGGGTGCGGGTACGCCGATTCGGCAAAATTCAAAAAAAGTACGATACGGGTACAGCTGCGGTACGTCGATATATATATATATATTTTGAAATATAATTATGATTAAAGGATCCAATTTACAAATTAAAATTAAATATCAAAACTAAAAAAAGAATTACTCATTTTCCTATAATTTAAAACCATTAAGCGTTAAAAATAATATTTGTGAAATCTCTCACTTTGACATGTTATGCACTGTGAATTTGTGATCGTAATTTATTTTTAAAATCTTTCTTTTTGCTCATCAATTTGCTATTTTTATAGGGTGAGACCAAAGAAATAACAGGAGACCAAAGAAAGATTTAAAGTTAATTGCCAACAGTAAAGGAAAAAAAATTCTCAATTGGGGCAGGTTTTCAATTGCAATTTGCATAATACATAAAGTTACATCATTCCCAACCACTACTAATCAACTAATACAGTATCAATTTTTAATGTTTTGTGCATAAACTTCAAAGTTTGTCATGATTAAAGATTTTATAAAGAAATTCTAGGAGGATCTGAAGCAAAAGCATAATGCATAGTCATACACAGAACTACCCTTTATAGGCCTTGTTTTTTTTTTTGGTTCAAATTGCTTTTTAAAAACATCAAAATCATTTGCTGATATGCTTATACAATTTATACAGACAAACAGAACAACAGAGAAACATCAAAATTACTGATCTGCAAGGGCACCAAAAAAAAATAAAAATAATAAAAATAATTGCTGATCTGCAAGGGCAAAAAAAAAAAAAAAAATGGCCCTGGCGTACCCACGCCGTACCCATGCCATACCCGAATAAACCGAACGTACCAGACCTTCTTTTGCCGTACCGTTATGCGTACCGCCATACCAGTACGCGTACCCGCACCCTGTAAGTACCTAGTACTCGTACGGCACTATTTTTGGAGTACCCGTGCTTCACAAGTTAGAGTAAAAACATTAAACGGTTGATTGGCAAAATAAAATGTATACTTTATAGTAATGTTTAGATAGGTAAAATGCCTACTTCTGTTGGAGATGCTTAGGGATCCAAAACATTTTCCCTATATGGTCTGTATTATTTAATATAGTGAGTTAGTGAGTCCTACACTCCTACTAGTCCAATTGAGATTTGTTTGCACTATGCATTGTGCTTTCAAGTTTCACAAGCCTGAGCTCTTATGAGAGACTGCACAGTTCATTTCATTCTTTGAGTTACTATCGTCGTTGTTGTTGTTTCTATACTGTGTTCTTTTCCAAAGTGCATGTTTAGATGTTAGTAAATCCTGATCTAGGCTTCTGCTTCACATGATTTGATTTAACAAGTTTTTGAGTTTGGTTTGACCCTAATGAGGTCAAGGCATACTCTATCCCACCAGAGAAATTGATTCATAGAAATAGGCATTCTAAGGATTCAAAGTTGTATTCATTCCAACCAACTTTCAACGCATGTTTCTTTCTTGTGGATAGGCTGTAGTTACAATGTTCAACTTCCAGCAATACCGTCACATTCAAACTCCAGGATGGTCACTAGGATGGACATGGGCAAAGAAGGAGGTGATATGGAGCATGGTGGGAGGCCAAACCACAGAGCAAGGAGATTGTTCGAAATTCAAAGGGAACATTCCACATTGCTGTAAGAAGGATCCAACAGTTGTGGACTTGTTGCCAGGAACTCCTTACAACCAGCAGATCGCAAATTGCTGCAAGGGGGGAGTAATTAACTCATGGGTGCAAGATCCATCCAATGCTGCGAGCTCATTCCAGATTAGTGTTGGTGGAGCTGGAACTACTAACAAAACAGTGAGGGTGCCCAAGACCTTGACCTTGAAAGCACCAGGGCCAGGTTATACTTGTGGTCCGGCAAAAGTTGGCAAACCCACCAAATTTGTTACCCAAAATGTAAGGAAAGTCACACAAGCTATGATGACTTGGAATGTTACGTGCACATATTCGCAATTTCTGGCTCAGAAAACTCCTACTTGCTGTGTTTCACTCTCATCCTTCTACAACAACACAATTGTACCCTGCCCGACATGCACCTGTGGCTGTCAAAACAACAATACTCAGCCGCCTCAAGCACCGCCTACGGCGTCGAGAGAATTTCGTGATTTCATCAATTGTTGTTTGCAGAGAGCTCCATCCAAGAGATGGACCATACCTGTGGCTACCTACCATATTCGGCAGAGCAGCAGCAGACAAGATGGGCTATATCTCCTGAGAAAACAATTTTCAAGAAGGAACAATTTTCATCCTCATCATCATGTAACCATCTCTCTCTCTCTTAAGGAGAATAAAGAAGAAAAGAGAAAACAAAACAGGAACCACACACTGTTTTGCACACGCACTCTTGTTCCCCACTCATATTTTTTTATATTTCTTTTACTCCTCCTTTTGACAAGGACACGAACCACACACTGTTTTGCACACCCATCATCTTTTTTTTCCCTTAGTGGTAGGACCCGCCAACACCTTTGAATCTCCCCTTTTCTTTTTTTTTTTATTTTTTATTACTTTAACCTTCCGAAATTTTTCTTCACCTTTATCCCACACTTCATTTTATTTATTATTATTATTCTTATTTTTTTTTTAAAAAAAAAAAAAAACCATCATCATCTCTCCTCCGTTTGATTTCAAACTCCTTTATTTTTATTTATTTTCTCCAAACCACTTTCCTTATTTCCCCCATCTTTCATTTTTGATTTCAAATATATTTTTATTATTTCTTTCTTTATTTTTCTTTCACATTATTTTTAATCTTTTTCCAATTCCATTCATACCATATAGCTTTGCACACCAAACCATAATTTATTCATGTCGGGGCTCACCCCGATCACCATGTTTCCACATACAAAAAAAAATAAAAAATAAAAATAAAAATAAAAACAAATACAAACAAACAACCACATTCACAGGTGGGATTTTTCTTCTCTACTCTGCCGCCGGTCTTTTCTTCTTGCCTCCGTCCTGGGCGGTCCTTGCCGGTGTTGCCTCCGTGTTTCCCACTCCACTGGGCATGATCACTCCCCCATACTCCTCCACTGCAGCATATGGCGGACCTCCAAATCGGAACATTACGGTGGCCTTCCGCTTCAGCTCCTTATTTTCTGCTTTCAGCACACTTATCTCTGCTCGCGCATCCTTATACATGCGTTGGAGCAGAGCCAGTTGGGCGTTTAAATGCTGCACCTCATTTGTCCTACTCTGCAGCCGGTTTGACAACGGCTAGGGAGGACGACCTTCCACGCTTCTAATTTTTCTTGTATTTTCAGAGCAAACTAGATATTGTACTATTGAAGGTCCTAGCTAATAACAATGTCAGTTCATTAAAGGCTTGATTAATTTGTATCTGCACTGACTGTTCATTACATTCCTGCAAAAACATAAAAATGGAAGCATAACTCCTAAACTTTAGTTACCTAGGCCATCTTCAAGAGGGGAAACTCAGTGATGAAGCTTGTTTTAGTTATAATAAGCTGGCTGCCCTAGCAAAATTTCATATAAACTTCTTCTCCATATACTATCTTATTTGGCACTTTAGGTTGTGCCAGTGGTAGGCTGTTTGAGTAAGTTGTTACATTAAAACTAAATTGCATCATTCTATTATACTTCACTTCACCAGGGATCCTGAGCTTTTGCGGAGAATAGGCGATGCAACTGCTCTTGAAGTCAGGGCTACTGGGATTCCTTACGTCTTTGCTCCTTGTATTGCAGTAAGTAACCATATTATACAAACCATCAGAAATTGCGATCCTGAGCTTTTGCGGAGAATAGGCGATGCAACTGCTCTTGAAGTCAGGGCTACTGGGATTCCTTACGTCTTTGCTCCTTGTATTGCAGTAAGTAACCATATTATACAAACCATCAGAAATTGCGATCCTGAGCTTTTGCGGAGAATAGGCGATGCAACTGCTCTTGAAGTCAGGGCTACTGGGATTCCTTACGTCTTTGCTCCTTGTATTGCAGTAAGTAACCATATTATACAAACCATCAGAAATTGCGATCCTGAGCTTTTGCGGAGAATAGGCGATGCAACTGCTCTTGAAGTCAGGGCTACTGGGATTCCTTACGTCTTTGCTCCTTGTATTGCAGTAAGTAACCATATTATACAAACCATCAGAAATTGTCATTTATATATGGTGTTTTTAAGCGAATTTCTTTGCTTCCCAAGGTTGCAAGCATTTCATGGAACCTTTTTTTTATAGGTTTGTAGAGACCCTAGATGGGGTCGGTGTTATGAGAGCTATAGTGAAGATCCCAAAATTGTTCGAGAAATGACCGACATTATATTGGGGTTACAAGGAGAAAATCCAAATAGTTCTCTTAAGGGAGTACCCTATGTTGCAGGAAGGTATGGAGTCTATTAAAGTTAAAAATAAGCTCTGTTTTGGGACATCCAGTAAAGTTATTAACAGTATTCTCCTGATCTTGTTGACTAATAGTAGAAGCCGAAGAATTAAATCTACAACAGTAGGATTCTTCTTGGCAGGGCCACAGGTATACCCCGGTCCTGGACCTAGCAAAGTGAAGTTCTTGGGAAGTTTCACAGTCTTGTTTGAAGTCCCAGCAAGCCCAATGCTGACCTGGAAAGACGATACAGAAGATGTGGGGTCTTGGCCCCATGATGACACCACCCCACCTTTGCAGCAGTTCTGAAATTGCTGGTTGTAAGGCACACCAGGAAGCAAATCTACAACAGTAGGATTCTTCTTGCAACAATGTGGGACATTCACTTTGAATTTGGAGCAGTCACCTTGCTCGGTGGTTTGAGCCCCCACCATAGACCATATCACCTCTTTTTTAGCCCATGTCCATCCTAAGGTCCAGCCAGGGCTCATGATGTGCCGGTACATCTGAAAATTGTTCATTGTCACAACTGCCTGCAGGTAAACAATTCATCAAAAACCTCGTCAACATATGATATCAATCAATAATAATCATATATAAATTTGTATCATCATCTTTGAAATTGTAGTAGGCACTCACCACATAGCCATCTGGAGTCCAGGACATTATATCCCATTTTATTGTTATGTTCCCGTTGGGATCCAATGGATCATATGCAGCTGAAATTCAAAATAAATAAAAATAAATAAAAAAAGAATTAGATACAGCTGAATCCAAACTGAAGCTTGAGAAAGGGGGGGGGATGGTTGCTAATTTACCTGCATAAGAAAAGAATACAAGAAAGTAGAGAACTGACATGACGAATCTCATCTCTGCAATGCTGATATATCAATATTGATGAAGATGAGAATTGGGTTCTAATCTAATGCAACTTTTACAAATTGGGTACGTTGAGCTCAGTATCTGAGAACTGCCAAGCTCACAATGGTTGATTACTTGTATGTATTGAAGAAAGAAAGAAAAAGATGTGCAAGAGGAATTGTCAATGAGTTTGAGATGGCTTACCTACTGGTGGTTAGACACCTAGAGGTTATCTTCTATCACCCCCTTCCTTTTCTCTCATGTTTATATTTCTGTTACGAGTTTTTCTGTATCTTGAAGCAATGACTTGGTGTGAAGTGAGAAGAAAAAAGGAGAGAAGATAGGCGGGAGATTTGAAGGCTGAGCACAACATTCCAACGGTTACCCTGACAGCCAAAGGTGACAGGTAATTAGGAGAGGAAGGTGTTCTGCCAACAAAATTACTTAGATGACCCTATCACAGTAATTCAATTAGGAAAATGATTCACAAACATGAATTTTTTTTTTTTTATTCATGAAATTCATCTAGAATGATGTAGCACATTTTTTGCAAACATGGACTACAATAATGAGTTTTCTGACTTGAAATAAAACAATCACAAAAGCTACATCTGTCTGCATGAAATTTATGTACAAAAAAAATGTTGATATAACATTACTCATTTGATTATCTATCTTTCGACGCAATAGGCTACGTGATGTTGCTATTCATGCTTACATGGGATAGTCTTGGATGAAATTGTTTTGCCAAACTTAACATTGGACATAGACAAAAATCTTTGTCCCTCTGCCTCAAATGCAGTTGCAATCATAGAACTATATCTATAGTTTCTAGACCTTTCTTTGATTATAAAGGCATCATCGAAGATATGGGAATGGGCTTATGATACTGCAAAACCTATACAAGGGCATTGAGGAAAAAATAGTTGCAGAGGGCATTTTGGTCATCTCGAGTGACGGTGTTAGCTTCCTTGAATCTTTGCCTAAGTGAAAATTTAAAAAAAAATCTTTTGATTGGGAAATTTGCTGATTATTATTATTGTCACGTTTACAGTCAGAAAAAGGTAGAGTTCGTGGCAAGTAAACAGGGGTAGGGACAAGTAGTGAGCTCCATTCTCTGACAAAAAAAATAAAAAGAGACATCTCAACCAATATTCAGCAGACTTTGGATGCTTCAAGAAACAGTCTAACTTCTAAAGTACTTACTTTTTCAGTTTTCGGCCATTTTGTCGGTGGTCCTATGCTCTCAATTGGTATAAGCAATAGGGAGCCAGAATTTTGGTTCAGAAAAAACATTATTGAGTTAAATTCTCAACAAAAATTGTACTTTATTTAATTTTTTATTTTGTATTTGATAGTAAGACTAAAAATTAGTGTGATGCATAAGTGATATTTAAATATGTTAGTAAATGGGCGTTCATGTAGCATGACCATTTAAATTTGAATTTGATCCTTATCCAAATAGGTTTTGAATTTGAATTCAAACCTATTTATTATCAGTTTTAACTGATATGGATAGATATTATAATATATTATATATCTGATATATGGTTATGGGTAATCAAAAAAAGGAGAAACAACGTATGATCTGTTTCTACCCCATATACTGACTCTCTTCCACAAAACAACGATAAAGTCTTTGGCACTGTGGTTTGTGTGGGTGATATTCAATCTGTGATATCACTCCACTGCTGGGTTGGTTTATCAGTTTTCTGGAAGCACGTGATTTATCCAAGAAGGTTCTATCATCAAGAAGGTATGATCTGATTATTTTATCCGCTGCATATTCTGTGTTTTTGATTTACAAAAGATATATGTAGTTATACCTGCAAACCACTAGAACTATGTCTTTATCTCATCAAAAATGTTACTTGCTCTTTTAAAGAGTTTATTACAGCATCTTGAGCTTGCAACTGAATACCTTGAGCTTGTAACTAGTCACCTTGAGTTTTTAGTTGTTCCTTCAACTCAATTATAGTGTCTTTGTCTCTTATTCTCTCTTCATCAGAAACCATTCTTAAGTGGTCGAAACTATTACACATGAAGCCATGCTTGGAAGGAGTAGGCCCAAATCCTAAACCTCGAACACGACCATGATGCTCTTTACCCATCACTTGAGAATAAATATCATTTGGTGACCAAGATATACGTCCACCAACATTTCCTTCGGAGCTGCTTGGTTGTGAGCTCATCAAAGCTTCTAGTTTTTCCTGTAGCATAAATGGGGGGAAAAAAATAAGACGACAAAAAGCGAGAGTGATTGTTTGCCACAAACACATTAGAATTTTGAAAATGTAACTTATTAAATGGGCATACAATTTTTGTAGCTGTTGCTTCATTGACTGGTGTCCCAAGATTTAGTAGCGGCCAAAACTGTCGCTCATATAAAGGCAGATATTTGGATTTGATTTTGAATTTGGACTTAAATTTTCATCCCAAAGAGCGCTATTCGACTCACAATTAGAAGAGCAATGATTTTAGGCCAAAAAGTTAATCCCAAACCGACGAAGATGGTTGTTGCCTATTGGGTAGAGATGGAAACCACTTATCATCGAATCAAATATTTTGATCACTTCCAACTTTCACACTGGTTTATCATTGCTCTTTATAGGATGCTGATTGGGTGTGAATATAATGCGGGACCTAGGAGAGTCAAACATGCTCTTTGAGGGATTAGAGATGTTTTTGGACTGATGTAGCTAGATGGGTCTGGGTACATGAGACACTATTTCTGTTCTTTTTGGGTTGATGTCTCTATGCTGACTCATATTGAGTTTCTAGTATAGAGCTCCCACTTACAGGTGTTCTCAGCGGTCGCACGGTGCATTGGCTAGTATGAGATTGTTCTTTTTTGGGGAGATTGAGATAGAGATGTGGCAGTGTCATGCCAACTCATGTGCGAGTGGGAGATGTTAGTAAATGGGCGCCCATGTGGCATGACCATTTAAATTTGAATTTGATCCTTATCCAAATAGGTTTTGAATTTGAATTCAAACCTATTTAGGAAAACCACTCAAGATACAGATATTATCAGTTTTAACTGATATGGATAGATATTATAATATATTATATATCTGATATACGGTTATGGATAATCAAAAAAAGGAGAAACAACGTATGACCTGTTTCTACCCCATATACTGACTCTCTCCCACAAAACAACGATAAAGTCTTTGGCACTGTGGTTTGTGTGGGTGATATTCAATCTGTGGTATCACTCCACTGCTGGGTTGGTTTATCAGTTTTCTGGAAGCACGTGATTTATCCAAGAAGGTTCTATCATCAAGAAGGTATGATCTGATTATTTTAATCCGCTGCATGTTTTTGTGCTTTTTAAGTTTACAAAATATAAGCTCAAGTTAAATGATTATTATCTTTATTGTTATTAATTTAATTTTATGTATGATGATCATTACAATTTAAAAATTAATTACATGCCCTCATGAAATATGAGAGCAAATTTTTTATCAAGATGCACACACAAAAGAAAGGTGAATAAATAAGAGAAAATTAGTCTAAAGTCCCTCTCCCATTTTTAGTAATGGATGACAGAGGTCTGCAATATTATTTTATACTATTTAAGGTCCCTCACCTACCCCATATGTCTCACCCATCTAAAATGAGTCCCATTGAACCTTAACACCTATTTTTCATTCTCTCTCCTCTTCTCCTCTCTCTCTCTCTCTCTCTCTCTCACACACACACACACATTCTCTCATGTCTCAATCCCATGATTTTTTCGACCCAGAAAGAAAGAGAACGTGTGGTCGTTTCTATAGTGAAAGTTCGCAAGTTTGCCTCTGGGAGAGATCAGCTGCTTCGCCTTCTTGAAATCGCCATAGATCTTTATTGCTTTTGATTTCGTTTTCATGAAATTTCAAAACACAAAAATTTATGAAATTTCTCTGGTTTGAAATTTCTTTGTTTTTAAAAAGTGTTGGGGCATGAATTGATGGTTATGATCACATTTCCATTGTTGATAGTTGCCAATACACAACAACAGTGGAGGTTATTATTGCAGTTTCTCAAATTTGGAAACAAAAACTAGTTTGTGAGGGTACATCTCTATTTTTGGTCAATTGTCTATATGTATGTATGTGCTCATGGTAATTGTGTGTTATTCATGATAGTAGGGTTTGTTAGACCTTAAAGCTCATATGAGATTATATTACTGGTACTACAAGCCACTTTGATATTACAAGCAAAAATTTCTCTGTGTTTGAAATTTTTTTAGTTTGCTCAATTTCATTGATTTTCTCTATATTTTGAAATTTTTATGGGTTAAAATTTGTTTAATTTGCTCACAAATTTCTCTGGTTTGGTTAAAATAATTTTCTCTAGTTTATAATTGTGAACAAAGCCAGAGAAATTCTCTGTGAGCAAAGTTAGAGAAATTTCAATTCTCTGTGAACAAAGCCAAAGAAATTTGTGAACAAAACCAGAGAGATTTTTCAATTTTTTCTGGATTTCTCTTGTTTGAACTCAAAGAAATTTCAATTTTCTATGGATTCTCTCTCTCTCTCTCTGTGAAGCCATGAACAATGGAAGGTATGAATTTCGATCTCTCTTTTTCCTCTCTATGAATACTACCTTGCTTTCTTGACACCCATCTTGTTCAAACACAAAGTAGAGAACCCAAAAAGAAAGAAGAAAAAAAAAAAAAGATTCAGACCCAATTCCCTTTGTTTTTCCCTTTGCTCTGTTTCTTGTTTTTCTTTATGTGCAATTTTGATTCTAAATCCAAATATTAACAACCCATATCATCAGGACATGGAAACAATGCCAATTTATTCTGATTTTCTCAAGAAATTCAAGCGTTTGAGACTGCTCGAGCCCTCTTTATTGTATCTGTCTGTGTCATATGCTGCTTATTTTACTTAGATTATAGTGTTGTGGCGAAAAGATTTCCAATTTCAACAGAGTCTAAGGAGTTTGTGTTGTTGAAATTTAATGGGTCTATTGAGGATTGAAGGGTTGAGTTCTTGAGTGAAAAGGGTGGTAGGTGTGATGTGTTTGATAGTGATTGGATTTGGGATGAGACATACCTATTGTATCAATCAAGGGATTGTAGGTTTTGTATCAATCAAGCTAGAGAAATTTCAATTCTCTATGAACAAAGTTAGATAAATTTGTGAACAAAGTCAAATTTCTCTGGATTTTTCTAATTTGAACTCAGAGAAATTTCAATTTTCTCAGCTTGGAATCCAAAGAAATTCTCTAGATCGATGTTGAGGGACCTTAGACATTATGAAAATATTGAGTGTCTTTTATGCTATAAAATCTTAATACCAGGGACTCTAAAAA